ACCTACCACATCAGAAGTGACAGCTTTTTTGACAGTTGTATTGTCGTCCTTTCAATACACAGTCTTGCAGGGACCAGGTCCCTTGCAAACTTCTTTTTGAATTCTTGAAAGGTTTCCTGGCTGACTCTCTTTTATTAAAGAATGAATTTAATATGGTGTTTGTTATGTTGAAAATATCAACCATAAAGAGCTATTATTCGTTAGACAACATTTTCGTCCATTGGGATTGGTGTGATACGCCAACGCCCCACCAACCTCTAACACGACAGCGTTACAGATGCACCCCATTGTAGATCTGGACAAGAGAACTCAGACAAGGATCAGGTCCTTTCATTTGTGAGGATCATTCAAACCCCTAGAATATAACATCCTCATTTTCGGTATTAGGTTTTGGGTCATTTTGACCCCATTTTTCAAAATATTGATATAGGTATTGATAGTTTCAAATTCTTATTATGATTTCTTATTTGAATCGCTCGTGTTGTTTTGTATATTGTTTGAAGGGAAAAAGCTCAAGTGTGATTTTCTAAAGGCGAGTGGACTTTTATACATTTGTTAAGCTTATAGAATCTTATAGTTTTCTTGTTTGTGTTGGGGATTAATGTGAATTGAGTTGTTCACATTGGTTTATCTATGGACCACGAATTATGCCCTCGGCTATCATAATATGAATTCGAGGTCATCAAACTCACAACCGATCTTCAAACCACACAATACCAGAATTTTAATGCTCAAAAACAGTAGATTTTTACCATATCTCATTTTGAAAAAACTCTAATCAAATACTTACGCTAAAAAAAAAAACTATAATGATAAGACTAATTGTTACAAATTTCCTTCACAAACAAACAAAGAGAAGTGAAAATAAGTTGAAAGTACATAATCGGAAACACACATGAGAGAAGTGGAAATTATAAAATCTACATTCTGATCATCACTCATATGAAGGATGAAAAAAAAAAGAGGAGAAGGTACAATGTTGCATGTGAGGGGGCAAATAGGGAAACACGAGGGGAGTCGTTGGGACTTGACACACATTATTAAATGGACAGAACAATATACGAATTCAAAGTAGTAATAATGGAAAAAATCTCCCCCTACCACAATCACAACCACAACCATACAAACACAAACTTCATTGCCACTGACACTGATAGTTCTGACTAAACCAACATACAAGCCCCAAGATAGGAAAACCCAATTATATATACTGCCACTATGGTCCCAAAAGGAAATCACTTCACTTGCATGTGACTTTATTTCATTAAGAAAACAAAATATGTAATCCCTCCGTTTCATAAAAATTAATGGTTTCGTTTAATTTTGCATGGAGTTGAAAAAAATAAAGAGAATTTTTGATTGATTTTAAATTAAAGTTATGTCAAATATATAAAATTGTCTTTTAATCTTGTGATCTTAAATACGCCACGTGAAAAGTCATTCTTTTTCTAAAAAATTAAAAAAAAACGGCTATTTTTTTTTAAATAGAGAGAATATATATATACTTGTTATTTAACCACTTCCATAAAATCTCACACCTTATCATAAGGTAATATTCCTTTTATTCCTAATTAGTTTGTCTATTTTTCTTTTTTTAGTTGTCACTAATTATTTGTATATTTTGACAAATCAAGAAAAGACAATTTTTTCACCTTATCCTCAATTAATTGCTTTGAAAAAAGTAGAACTTTTTGAAAATCTTAAATTTTTAATTCATCTTACTTTATCATTAATAGGGGTAAAATGACAAACTCGTTATAATATTAATTGTTTTCTGAATAGATATATCAATTTAAAAGTGGACAAGTAATTAGGAAGAGAGGGAGTAAAATATTGAATAAAGAAATCAAAATAACCCATGTAAGTATCGTATCATATATGTCACACTGGATATGAATAAATCATATGATGAACTAGCGAAATTTTAAAAGAGGTCTCTTAATTTTTATTTTTATTTTAAATAGCATAAATTACTGCTAACAAGCTACATCAAAAATCAATATATATATAAATCTGAATTCCAAATCGCTGATGTGGCATGCCTCTAAGGGCTAGAAAAATATTCATCTTTTTTTTAAAATATATTTTTTAAAT